ATATATATATATATGCCATTTTACTGGAACTTGTTTTTTAAAGGTTGCAAAGAACATTTTAAAGTCAATAATAAAGTTAGCAAAGGATGGCTTGTTATTTCTCCATTTACAACAGTGTGTATAATATTTTCCAATGAGAATAATTGTGTTTACCATGTCAAAAATTTAAGGGTGCAAATTATCCATATAAAACATGATTCTGTTAACTGTAAAGGGGCTTCAGGTTATTTCACTGTTAAAACCAGCTTGTCGCCATTTGTGTGCGTTTGTTTTATACTCCCACGCACACCGGTTGTTAAATTAATTTTCCATCCAAAAGAATGAACAAAGGGCATTTGATTAAACACTTTTTGGACATGATACGACAGTGAACATAAGCAGAAAAGAAAACAAAAACATACAAAAATAAAATTAAAGGCTTAAACGGTTTTGGCGATAGATTATCAAAGGTTTGATAAAATCGGTGTACGCTTATACAACACATTCAATGCTTTCGATGTAACTCCTCCTCCTTACTTGACGTGTCCGGCGGCGGGCGGTGCTTCTCTCTAGTCTCTCCGCCCGCACCTGAAAGCAGCTGAAAGATGATCGAAACGCCCCCGGCTRTTTGCTTCTTGTTTTTCTCTCTGTCTTCACGGTTCAGCCGCAGAAAGTTATCCGCTCCTACAGCTGAAAGGACGGCGTGGGGACTTTGCAGCTAAACCGAGCGGAGCGCAGTTGAGCCAGCTTACAGACTCGGGAATGATATGTTTGGTAAAAAAAAACGACACCTGCGTGCGAGAGTAAAGTAAAGGTAACAACAAGCATGGACGTGTCCCTCCTCCCGGCTGTCGGAGCAGCTTCAGCCGACGGAAACGCTCCGGCTTTCGGGAAAGCTCCGGCTCAGGTGCCCGCCAGGAAGCAAGCCGTGAAGAGGCACCACCACAAACACAACCTGAAGCACCGGTACGAGTTCCTGGAGACTCTGGGGAAAGGAACCTACGGCAAGGTGAAGAAAGCCAGGGAAAGATCCGGCAGGCTGGTAAGCTAAAGCTAATGGCATTGTGATTTAGACAGTATCCTTGTGTTGTGAACAACTCTTAATTACAACCACATCYGATTTTAYCTGAATATCTGTAAAACTGACTGAATTGTAGCCTTTTCTGTGTTGACTAATACTGATTGTKTATGGCTGCCATCTTTGACTGGATTTACCATAAATGCAATCATTTGTAGATGTGCAACTAAAGATTCCTTCCAGAGAGTTTCATTGAAATCCTTCCAGTGGTTTGTGAGATATTTTGCGAACAGACAAACGGGTTCGACTCCAAATAAGTACAGCTAAAGTTTCAAGGATTTTGCATCATGAGTAGCACCTGGATTATGTGTTGTAAATGATTCTCTGCAACTACCACAACAAGTTTTAGCAGAAAAACTTTAAAAACGACTGGATTTTAGCCATTTGCATGTTTCTAAGGTCAGTTGTATGTGGCTAGCATCTTTAATTAGATTGGCTTCCCAAGTTAATCAATTACAGATGTATAGCTAGTTGATATTTCCTGAAAGTCTCAATAAAATCCACCCAGTAGTTCAGGAGATATTATGCCAACAGATGGACAAAGTCGAGCCCAAGTAATTAAAGGCTGCATTTTTAAATAAAGATCATGTGCAACCTGTTGAAGCTCTGAATATGTGTTGAGGATCAGGCTCTGCTACTACCACACCAAATTCTAACTCAGTATTTGTGAAGTTGGCCATGTTGAATTGATAGACGTCAGTCCATTAAATGCTTGTTTCATTAAAATTTGCACAGAGGTTTGTATAATGTTTCAGTAACCCGGCACAACAAACTTCCAARATTTTACTGTCATTTCACACGAAGCATCTGGGAATATTGTTTCGTTGGAATGACTGATCTGATTTTCCCCAGAAGTTTAGACAGGAAAGTTGAGTAATTTTTGTTTTTAATTTCCCGCTGATGAAAGAGGAAATAATTAGGACGGGCCTGGCAGGTGAATTCCAAAGACGAACCTTTTTTAAAAGAAACACAAAGTAGGCTGGCAAAACCAAGGCCGTTGACCTTTTGTATATTAAAAACGTATTAAAGTTATGTTCCCTGTAGTTAAAATAACCGTACAAACACACACTACAAACTAAATCTTATGTTTGGTTTATTAGCTTTGAAATAACCTCAGAAAAATTATAAACTCATTCAAAACCAAAAAACCCGTTATCAGGTCAGTTCCAAAAATAACTGGAGAGTTTCGGCTTTCTGTGTCACACTATCAGRAGCTTTCCCCCGTTGGAAGATGCATGTTTGTGTTGAGCGAAAGTGCTTTCAACACAAGGAAGTAATCATCAGGAATTCCCCGTCTCTAATTTCAGTAAACCTCCAGCGAGACGAGCTGAGACTCGTCAGCACARCCGCACCGTTTGATATCTCTGCTTTCATAAGCAATGATGACTGAGTCAGATTTATTTATGCAAATGCTGTCTCAAACCTGCAAAGGACTTTTATTTGAGTCATTATTTATTCTGCGTGTTGCACCACTGCATATGTTTGATTACATAACCCTGTTTAGGTTCACCTCACAATCAAGTACCTTTAGTGGGTTTTCAGACCGAGGCAGCAGAACTGTTAAAACTTTTAATGAAAAAATAGTTGTTTTATCTTGTCATAAAAAGGAGTAGCTGTTAAAAATACAGCTAACGAAGCAGGAATCCATCAGATGTTCAGTGAAAGGAGGACCTTATCTCTAAGTCGTGTCTAGACTCAAAAACAAAGATTATGAGGCATCTAAAAGGAATTTTTATGACCTCTATAGTCGTTGTGAGTAATCCACCATGGGCTAAATAAAGTGTAAGTAAAAATTACCTCATAATAATAATGTTAAATGAAACCAATCTTCACTATTTTTGTAAAAGCTTGTGTTAAAGTTTACTCAAGCCTTAAAATGATTAAACTTGCTCAAATTTCTTCTTTTGTAGAACAATGGAAGATAGGACCAAGTTCAAGAGTAAACAGAATTAAAGTAATCCAAAAGTAAAATCAGAGCTGATTATGTCTACACATCTGTTGATARAACATCGTAAACATAGACTTATGAGTATTATAATATCCATCTTATTAGATGGGTTTAAAGTCTATAAAGGTGGAAATGTAACCATGTTTTTAATTAGTTTTTAGTTTTTCATTGCACCTAATTTCRRCCCACTAGCTTGAACAGCTCAAACATTCCTTATTTGTGGTTTAAAATCACAGTTTTGTGCGTATTTTTGCAGKGAGAGTCTGTGTGAAATATTCAAGCCTTTTGACACCAGGGTGTCTTTAGCGTGGGTCTGACTGGCGGTGACGAAGGCGGCGCGCTCTGAGCACCTCTGCAGAGGTGTGAAGCGGTCACGAGTGTGATTTCAGGCCCGTCTGACAGCTACGCTAACAAACGCAGGAAACCSCGGCTCCCCAGGCTCGGGAGAGAAATCCGAGCGAGCGCTGTGAAAACCCGGCGCTGAGCCCCCGGAGCAGCGTCCACGTCAGATGGTGACTAACGACAGGAAGCCGCTGGCTGCTGAAAGTCACTTAACAAGTCACTGCTTTACTCATCCTCCTGTCTGCGGCCTCGAGGGCTTTTAGAGACAGGGAAACCAGGACACCCCACCAGCTGGACCATCTGCCGCCTCATGACACCCTCCAGACTCGGGCTGGACCGATGACGCGCCAAGAGGAATCCCAGGCATCTGAGCAAATAGACGGCCTCGACATAAAAACACCAATTCAGCCTTGTCTAAAAACCCTGACCTTCAAAAACAGCCTTTTTTTCCAAGCAAATATCTCTCCAGCTTGTCTTCGAAGCAGCACAGCAGAGATTTTAGTCCAGCTTATTCTAAAATTAAATAATGGCTTGTTTTTGTCTGTTGGGTAGATTAGATATAATAAAACTTGTGGTTAATCTGAGTACTTTCGGTCTCATAAAGAACTGTAATAAATCAGAGTAATCTAGTCCAGGTTTCACTATGTGCCCCATAACACATTAAGAAGGACTTTCACCGCTCTCTATACAACTGATTTCTAAGGACAGTGGCCCAGATACTAAATCACCCAGAGAGTGTTGGTGAGAGAGAGGAGTGAGGAAAATATGGGTTAATGTATTGTTGTGGCAATATTTAACAATATCCTGATCCTGACTACATGTTTACCTAATAATGTGCAGCCCTGCTTCCTGTTAACCCTTATAAACACATCTGATGCAGTTTGTTTATCATGTCTGCTGAAAGAGCAACGGAGCTGCTGAGATTATGTTCAAACAATATCTTACCTGTTGTAGATGGCTGTATGAATAACTCAGTTTGTAGAAATAAAGTTGAAGTAAACTGGTGGTTGATGGTAAAGCTGTAATACTTATTTTTACTGAATAAGTTAACAGGTTTCTTATTTCTTCCTAACTTTATATTCTTTGTTTTTCTTCTTCTTCTCTTGTTTAAGGTTGCTGTAAAATCAATCAGAAAGGATAAGATCAAGGATGAGCAAGACCTGGTGCACATCCGCAGAGAAATTGAGATCATGTCCTCACTCTGTCATCCGCACATCATCACCATTTATGAAGGTACAAAACCCAACAATCCTGGGTTTGTTTGGTTTAGTTTCATGGAGGCTTTAAGCTGCAYACTTATCGAAGTCTCACGATCGGGTTGAAATTTCAGTTTTAGTCACGCAAAGTCTTTGTCTGAAGACTTGACGCAGAGTTACGTAATTACTAATGGTTTGCTTTACGGCGGCAGCTCTGTGAGATAACGTGCCGACCCCGGTTACACAACAACCAGATCAATTCATCCAAATCAGTGCAGCTTTTTAGGACAGAAGTCTGAAACGTACCTCATATGTGGAGACATTGTTAGGAGTTTTAATTGGGGTGTTTGTCTTTTTAGTTTTCGAGAACAAGGACAAAATTGTGATCGTGATGGAGTACGCCAGCCAAGGAGACCTGTACGACTATATCTGTGACAAGAAGAACCTCTCAGAGCGAGAAGCCCGGCACTTCTTCAGACAGATCGTWTCTGCTGTGCACTACTGCCACCAGGTAAGACTTTTATCTTAAAGGGTCTCCCAGTTTGTCATGCCCGGTGGCATGGAGCCGCGCACACTTGTAAGTTGTTGTTTTTTTTGTTTTTTTTTCTGGGGCACCCTCCCAGAGTTACATAACGGGCATCATTTACTGTCACCCTGCAGCTCTGAACAGGGAGGCTGTGAGAAGGACGCTAGGGGAAATGAGGGGTCGGTGTTTGCTGAGTTAGCGTCAGGGCAACGGGCCAACAATCCCAACACACACACACACACACACACACACGCACGCATGGCCTCACAGCTTAATGAGGGTGTGAATGAGCAGAACCCCCACCACTACCCATTTTTAAAATACAAAAAACGCACAGTTGTTCCTGAGCTCCAGAGCAAAGCAGTCGCACTTTATTTTAGCTGTTCTGTACTTTGGACTGCGTTTTAAAATGTTTGCTCGATAGACTTTATGGAGTGAAATTGCCCCGTATCAACCATCTGTCTTATTGTGCTTTTATGGGCTTCAGCATTCTAAAATATTGTTTTCCATGCTTCTGTAAGGCAGAAGGACATCWATATCCTTGTTGAAATGCTTAAAAGCTCAGCAGCATTGTTCCCCTATGGTTGTACTTTAACAATAAACACAACATAACCAGACCAACAGTTTGAAAGATGCTGACCTGCATTTTAGGAGCTCATTTGAGACGAAGGTATGCCCCCCTGCAGAGCAGAGGACAATGAAACGTGGCTGACGTACAAGAAGAAAATGTTCCGTTTGGAAAGAATGTGCTTCTTTGACCCAGTAAACACGAATCCCCTTTATGTCGGATAGTTTAATGTAAACTGATCCGCAGCGGCGTGGGTGGTGCTGATCTTTGTAAAGAAAATATGAATCATAAAAAAACATGTTGTCTTTTTTCTGTTTTTCCTGCTAGAATGGGATCGTCCACAGGGACCTGAAACTGGAGAATATTTTACTAGATGCCGACGGCAATGTGAAGGTACGCACGATCACCCTGAGCTGCCATTACACATTCACTCGGCTTCTTTTATAGCTCAGTCTACTAAAAGTAACATGGCATAAAAACATAATCTGTGTTATAAAACGTTAATTATTCTTTTTTTTTTCCCCCTCTCTCTCCTGCAGATTGCAGATTTTGGGTTGTCCAACCTCTACCACGGTGATGAGTATCTGCAGACGTTTTGCGGCAGCCCCTTGTACGCCTCGCCGGAGATCGTCAACGGACGGCCGTACCGTGGACCGGAGGTGGACACCTGGTCGCTCGGCGTGCTGCTGTACACGTTGGTTCACGGCACCATGCCCTTCGATGGACTCAACCACAAGATGCTGGTCCAGCAGATCAGCACCGGAAACTACCGCAAACCCAGCAAGCCSTCGGGTGAGTAACAGCGCAGTTTGTTGTTGTTGCACCATTTGTGGAACATAAACACCCACTGTCATACAAAGCAAGAGATGATGTAGTATTTATAGCAAKATATATCATGAGCCAGGAGGCAGATTTRAATMAAACTCTCAGATTAATTACTGGATTTACATCAACAACTGATTACTTTTTGTAGTAAATGCAATTCAAGATGGCTGCCACAGCTGAGTGATCTAAGCAAACAAAAATATTTATTTATTTATTTATTTTAAACTTTATTAATTTCATTGAAAAACAAATTTTATATACAATAAAAATAAAAGAAAATACAAATACAATGAAAAGAAAAGAAGCAGAGAGAAGAAAAAAAATCTTATAATATCGACCCCTTTTACCCTCAAGTATAAATTCAAACAATAGTAATCTTTAGTTAACAAAACAAAATAAGGGAACTAAATTTTTCAGATATTAAACTAAATTTTTGTCAATTAGTAGCGGAGTCTACAATTTATTCCTGTATTTTGCTATATCAGTTACGTAAAATGATACATTTTATTGTACAGCCTTAGTAAATAGTAATAATTTTTCACCTCTTATAATTTTGTCTAGAGTACGTTAACATTTCTTTTTTTTCGTTACTTTGTTTATTAMGTTTTTGACAAGATGTACAGTTATGTAACTCTCATTACTTTGTACATGTAAAACAATCCTCACAACTGCTTTTAGAACATAAAATTTAAAAAAAGAACAAAAAGAGCTGCCTCAATTCACATCAGAGTGATTTTTCCAAATAAAGCATGTCAGGATTGCCATTTCAGATGTATCTGTTATTTATATATACATATGTGTAAAGAGGAAAGAGAAGCAAAAAGGACAACAGAGGGAACCTCCAGAGGAAAATGAGATTCAAAATTGGGGATAGGGAAATAGAAATAATAAAGGGGTAAATAATAATAATTGCAGCTCATCTGCTACAAAAGAAAAGTAAGTGCATCTTGCCAATTCTTGCAGTGGGCGCCTAATGAGTATAAATTGTTCAGAGGAGCCACACGTTGTCATCCTAATCTTCTCAAGTTTAAGAAAGTACAGAATATCTCTAAGCCAGTGTAAAAAAAGAGGGAGCTTGAGCCATCTTCCAGAGTACGTTAACATTTCTCTTCATTTCTTCTTTCAGATGCTTGTGGATTGATTCGCTGGATGCTCATGGTGAACCCCGAGCGCAGGGCTACAGTAGAGGAAGTAGCTGGACACTGGTGGCTGAACTGGGGCTACCAGCAGTCACTGCTGTGTGAGAGGAAGACGGGTCCGGTGGAGCAGACCCCCTCACCGGCGTCTCCGTCGACGCTAAATTCCTCGGGGCTGGCCGGGGTTGCCAGCTGGCTGCGCCGCACATCCAGACCCCTGCTGGAGAACGGCTCCAAGATGCGCTGCCTGCTCCGCCCTCAGGCGGCCGGAGGGGATGTGGTGCGACAGCGCTCGCTGCGACGGTCCCAGAAGGAGAACAACGTCTCCCAGGCGGTTAATGAAGGAAGCGCAGACTCTCGGCCCTACAAGGGTATTCTGAAGAGGCGGAACAGTGTGAAACAAAAGGCGGTGGCGAGCGAAAGCGCCTCTGTGGGTTCAGTGGATCCGCCGAACGTTTTGTGTTCGTCCAGTTCGCCTCGCACTCCTACTGCTGCTTTGCTGCCTCGCAAAGGTATTTTAAAGAAGCCCGTAGAGCACGAGTCGGGGTATTACTCCTCATCTCCTGAGAGCAGCGACTCAGGCAGTGTTTCTCACACAAAAGACTGTCCTGCAGCAGCACCAGCGTACAGGCAGGGAATCCTGAAGCATAACGGGAAGTTCTCTTCAAGCAGGCTACAGGAGTTCGGCTCTCTGGACCAGCTGGCCGCTTCTTTACCCCGAGAAGGGACCAGGTCGAGACCAAGCATGGCCATCAGCGAAGACAGCATTCTGTCCTCAGAGTCCTTCGACCAGCTGGATCTGCCAGACCACGTGAGACCACCCGCACAACTGGACAAACCAGGCAAAGCTAGCATGAGAGGCAGCGTCTCTGCAGACAACCTGTTGGACATAGCTGAAGACAGGATTCTGTCTGACAGGGTGCTGAGGCCGTGGGAGTGTTACGGGTCCAGAGTGGCCGACAGCGCCTTTTCCATCACTGACTGTGAWAACGTCACAGAAACTTACAAAAAGGCCGCAGTTATACGAGGATCTGCGGCGAGCTAGACACCACAAATTAGAAAAATAGACACAAACTAAAGCCTCGTAATTTCATTCAAATATCTGACACTGATGAAGACTTGACAGAGACTTGACATCCAAAGTGTATCATATGAAAGGACAGGCGCACTTGGCCAACTTGAAGCACTATGTAGTACCAAAAAGGGATGTTGCGTGTATTTTAGACGGTTGTTATTGAGATTAAACTGACATAATTAGACTGATTTTAGATTTAAATTAACTTAAAATCTGGCAGATGGTTAAACTAATATTTAAAAATCAGAAGTGAAGATAGCACTTGGCAGGAATTTGAATTTTAACCAAAGCAACGGTTGAGACATTTAGACAGAACTTTAAGTCTCAGTCGGACCTGTGTGTGTGTGTGTGTGTGTGTGTGTGTTTGATTTCGGCTTATTTTGACAGAAATAGAACCGGTATTATACTTTTAGTTTACAATGTTTGTGTCATTTATAGCTGGAACGATGGTTTAAACATTTTGACTCAGTAGGATTTTAGTTTTGTGATCAGTATGCTGAAAAAAAAAAAACAGGTTATGAGGATTTCCTCTCTTTGGGATCATTTTACTATTTTTCACTGTTTTTCTGGAAATATTTCTGACACCAAAGATAAAATCTTCTAAAGTTGTTTGATATTTTTGTATTTGTTTTTGTGTAAAYCACTAGGAAAATGTGCCAAGATGATGTTTGTGCAAGGATAATTTCATCTTTGTTTAGTTATATTTACTTGAAGTGACTCATTGAGTTTGGATAATGACTTGAAAAACAAATCGATGGGCGCAACAAGTTGAACCTGTTTTAACCTACAAGCCTTTTCACTTTAACGCACGCACACAAGTTGCCACCGACTCAGCCGACGTGGTCCAGTTCCCTTCAAGGGCGGCTCTTGTTCACCCGTTGTTTTTTTGTTTTTTTGAACAGCAAATGGGAAGAGTGTCAGCTAATCTGTTTTCTTACGAATATTTGAAATCCGTTTTAAAGGTCAATCATCAGGTTTTCTACAAAGCTGGATTTAGAAAAACTTGTTTAACTGGTGACTTGGCTTTATTACTAAAATTTAAAAATCACAAGCTCTTAAACACCATTTTTATGGCTATCAGGCAGTTTTTAACATTGGTGCCATTTGAGTTTATTAATATTTTTTTTTGGTTTGAATTTTTATGGAACAAATGTAACAGAACTGTTCTGGTCTTTAAATGTGCCTTACAGAGCAGGTTAAACTTTGGTAACAAATCATCGAAGCTGGTTTAGTTAAATGTTGCACATGCAATACTACTGATATAAAAACTCAAAGTTATTAACTGTTTTTATTAACTGCTGTTAGGTTTTGACATGCTGGGGCTCATCTGGAACTGAGTGCCTGCACATGTGCAAAATATTTAAATTCAACCTAAAAATATAGTAAAACTGGAAAATGACAGAATGCATGAAACTCGTTGTCTCTTTACTGATCATTTGTTTAAGTTTGACTCGTGAACAGATCTCTGGGAAATCGCATTTAATATATTTTTTAATACTTTATTTCATTCGAACATCAATTAAAACAATACAAATATAATAATGTTGCATCCAAAAAAAAATCCACAGCAATTAATTAATTAATGAACATTTGGACATTAATTTTTTTATCTTTCACCTCACTAAAGGTAAAGCTATTGGAGTTTTATGCATGTCTTGTTTGCCAAAGTTACTGGTTTATCATGTGTTTGTTTGCTCTTCTGTCCTGGGATAAGAAAATCAATAAAAAGGAAAACATCAAAGAACTCAAGTGTTGGCTGATGTTAGAAATGACCCACACACACACACACATTTAAACTTGTTTAACAGGATAGATTTGTGTTGGTTTGATCCAAAAACGTAGAAACTTCTGATGAAATGATTTAATACCATCTATAAATAAAAACAGTGAAGTAAAATGTGCTCACAGAGAACTTAAGTGCAATTCAGTATCACAAAAGTAGATGATCAAGTCTAAAGACGAACATTTCAAAGCTGCTTTGGCAATTAGAAAAGGRAAATTGGCAGCAGCAAAACATTTTTTTAAACAGCGTCAACAGACTAAACTCATTTAAGGAAACCACTAAGAACCGGTGTCTAATTTCAGGTTTTTATTTAGTCTCTCGCTGACAAACGTCTGATTCATTGGAGTTCTTTCTCGGCAGGGAGGAGTGCTTCAGCTGGACTTCCTGTAAGCCGTGTCAACGCGACATCCTGGATGTGGGTGGGAGCGTAGCTGATCCCTGAACCGCYCGCGTCTGACCTCCCAGCGCCGTCCTGGGAGGTCAGGTTGAGCTCCAGAACATTCRCCAGCAGCTCGTAGCAGCGGAGGATGGAGCTCTGTTCAAGGCCAGATTAAACAAACGAGGAAGGTGCATTAGTGCAAACAAAGCTGCGCCTACAGCCGTGAAAATGTCTTTGATATGTGCAGGAGAGCTCATTTTAGCTATTTACTTGGTCACGCTTGAATTAGAGAGATAAGGATGTTTAAAAAAAAAACAGCTCAAAAACACAAATCTTTGCTGACAGGGTAAAGTCAAAGTGATATCGGGGAATGTGGGTTAAACATTAACCCTTACCAGGTCGGCAGCCAAAAGTTTGGCTAAAACCTTCATGACTGAATCTGAGGAGACGCCTCTGTCCATCACCTTCAGCCTCTGCAGGGCGGCGCTCACACAGGCACACGTCAGAGTAGATGGCAGGAAGTCCAAAAACCTGCAGTCTGAAGAGAAAGGAGGTTTTCTTTGGGTGACACTTGATCATGAGGGCAAATTTACACACAAAATGCTGAGATAATCAAAACCACATGGGAGCATTGTAGACACACCCTGAAGGACAAACACTCAGAGGCAGACTCCTCTTGTTCATCTGATATCCTATTTGCTGCAGGCGTGAAAAATTGTGAAACAACTCCCTTCTGTTTGGCTGACACTTTCTTGAATGGGGTAAAATGCCGAGATCCGGGAATTGTCCGATATTTATGGGCAGTAACGTTAGATTTTGTATGAACCGGTACAACCTGGCGGCATCCCCGTGACCTGCTGCCTCTGGCTGCATCGCAGAGATTCGTGGGAAACGGTCCAGCTGAATGGTCGGACGTGGGTCTTTCACAGCGGAACAATGCAGGATTACACAAACCCCAGCTATCATCTCCAAAACAAAGTGCTGACACATCGTGACCTAAGTTAAAGCTGCTGTGTCTGCTTGGTTGGAAAATCATTCAGTGTCCATTTACCAAAAAAAAGGAAGAAGAATTACACAAAATGAAAAACTTTTATTGCGTAATCGATTTGTTTCCAGTCTCACTGAACAGAAATCAATCGAACTTTTGTTGCSTTTTTGTTTGAGAAAACCATGTCAAGTGTAGGTAACACAGTTGTGTAACTTACCCGTGGCTGCCAGAGCCGCATAGGAGTGAACATGACGCCGGATGCTCTGAGGGTGGGGGGCCCGAACGAAAGGGAGAACATGAAGAATGGGCTCCAGGAAGTCAGAGGGTACAACGGAGGCCAGACACCAATCTAACCTGGACACCACTGTCACCTCCCACTGCTGCAACACACACACACACATTCCTCTAAAGCAATCCACCATCAACATCCCACTGCAGGAACACATTATTGACACAGATGTGACCACAGGTGATTAGTGCGTTCACCCCTTGCTGACACACAGGAAGAAAACCCTTATTTCTTTTTCCTGGGAAGAAACTGAAAGCTCTTTTTTCACGCGTGCCTGCACACTTTTGTATTTGTCATGAAAAAAATCAGGAGGGGCTGTGTAATAAAGACAAATTGTATACATGCAGAGGCATACAGATTTTCAATTTTAGTCACAATAAAGTATAAGTCCTCATTGAGATGTTTGCTAATATCATTATACTTAAATGTGAACAGGAACAAGTTARTGAAACTCAAAGTACAGGTTGAGAACCTGATGAAACCCTTACACATCTACAGATTCAYCTCATAAGTAATAGCTGATTTAGCTAAAGCTTTAAAAGTGCATTCTTCCTGAAAGTCCATACTTCACACTTGATTTCAATCCTTGGCTAACACTTTTAATCGTGTTCATGTGGTTTAAGTATTGTTCGTTTAGTAAAGTACCACCCTAATTTCAGGGTAAATAGATGATAAAGCAGAACATGCTTGAATGGCATGATTGGAATTTAAAAGTAGCCTGACCAATAAGCTCAGAGGTGCAGAAACAGATTGCTTGTGATGATAACAAAAAAGTGGTACAATGTGTTATAGCCAGACTCTTGAAACACTAAGCGTGCAGTAATTGGCATCTGCAAAATAGCATTGCATTTAAGGAGKTCTCTTGTAGAAGCATTTGTTGGAAAGCAGTCCTACCACACAAAAACCTCTTTTATTTTAACATTAGCTCTTAAAAAGTGATTATCACTACTCACATTTTTTTATATAAATAAAAAATGTGAGGGTTTTTTTTTGTGTGGGGCGACTGTGACTGTGTTAAGAAAGCATCATGTGAAACTATGAAGGCAGTTTTCATTATTTTAATATAAAATTTGTTGATGTCTCCTGCATGTGTTGCAACTCTMTTTTGGAACTTACTTTATGCACTTCTTGGTAATCAGTGTCTGTCAGATGTCAGTGCTRGTACAGGAGAAGAAAATAAAGACATAAACGAATTAAAACTTGTTTTGTTTTTATGAAACAATGATTTACCAGGATGTCTGGAACAGAAACAGAGTTGTCTGTGTAGATGGAAAGCTTGCTGGCCGTCAGGGGGACAGTCTCTCTCATTTTGGAGGCCAGGAACAAACAAACTGCACCTAAAAGCTGCAGGTGGGTCTTCTTTATGGAGAAACGGCTCAGGTAACCATCCAGGTAGTGCACCGCCTGCGGGAACACCTCCTCCTCGCATAGCTGCTCCTCACACACCTGCCAGACARATTTACACAGTTCAAACTGTCTTAGCAATGTTTCATTTGAACAAACTGTATAAAATTTAATCACAAAAATTTTTTGAAGCACTTTTCTGAGCAGTAGCAACAAAAAAAACTGATTTTTGAAGAAAAAAACACTTTCAAATTTGAGATTTTCCCTGTGAGCTAGCAAAGTTTTTGTTTCTTTCCTGCTTGGAAATCTCATTATTTAAATACTATTTGAGATTTCTTCTTCATAAGGAAATGAAAAATTCCTCATAAAAATAACGTCAATTAGGATCCAGACCAAATTTTAATGTATTATCATAACCAACAAGACAAATTAAGTCATGCTTATGAATGATCCAGGTATAAATGTAGCTTAAAGCCAGGAATCTGAAAATGTGATTYGGCCATTTTGACCCAATTTTATTTCGATTTGATGAGTCACAAATGACATAAATAATTTAAACTGAAATGTTTATACCTCAAACATCCACACTGCGACTATTCTCCTCATGTAGGGCTGGATGTCTGTCTGCACTGTGCTGAAGGAGGAGGGGGACACCCGGCTGCTCTCCTCCAGGGCCCTCAGGTTCCGCAGCACACGGGGGTCGCCGGTCACGGTGGGGTCATGCACCGAACGGAGGACCACACCCGGCTCAGATAAGCCCGCAGCTTTTTTCTCCGGGTCTGCTACAAAGCTGCCCATACTCACCTAAACCCGTTCTCCAAAGTTAAAGGCAGAATCATCAACAAACTCTACGTTAGCTAGTTACGTTAGCCTTCTCGGCTAACATTAGCTGGTTTTGCTAAAAGGCCTGTTGCCAAGCAACGGTTGCACGCGGAAGTCTCGAGATCAATCAATATTTACATTTAATCATCAGGATTAATTTTATAATTTTAAACACAAGAAAAACGTATTTAACCCATTTTGCCCCACTGGCAACAATTGTTGCCAAAGTGTATCACTGTCATTTTTGACTGAGTAAAAAAATTTCATTATGCAACATTTTCCACTTATGCACTAATAGACAAAGGTTTTGATTTTGGAAAAAAAAATGTTTCCAAGTGCTTCCTCTCACATAAAATCATATGCTTCCRGCTCCTTCCGGCTGAAGACGTGAAAGATGCAAATCATCCTGGAAAGAGGTCAATTTCCTAAAATTTCTTATAATTTCCCCCCAGACATGTTTATAATTATTTAATCTTTCAAGTCTCTAGAACAACACTCCCCACAAAAATTGTACCAAGAATAAATATATATTTTTTTTTTTTGTCAATGGGCTTATTTCTGTAAGCGGCAACAAAAGTTGCCAATGGGCAAATAGCTTGTCACTAACTAAAGGAAAACACTGTCTGCAGGATTGTGTCTAATTTACTTATTTCAAATTACAGAATGATGTACAATGTCTTATTTTAGCCTTCTTAGGATACTCTTCCTAGCTAAATAAATCCATAGGTATTCAAGGCCTGTGTGTATAGCTTGTAAAAGATACACACAATCTGATACAGCTGTTTTTATGGGGACCTGGCATTGACTTCCATTGTTTTCTACAGCCTGACCCTGACCACCAACCACCTGACCCTAAAACTAACCTCAACTCAATTCACACCTTAGCTGTAAACTTAAACCCGACCCACCAACGGTGCTTCCCCTTATGGGGACAAGATTCAGGTCCCCATACCAGTCAGGGCACCAAGTGTAACATTAGGTCCCCACAAGTACGCATGTATGCCAAAAAAATGTCCCACGACATAGGGAATGCCAGTCCACAAATAAATCCCCYTTCACCTCTGGTGTGTTGTGTAAGCATTTTTCATAAAATAATAGGTCCAAATTTAAAAAAAAAAAATRCKTCATGTTTGTGTTTCTTTCCTTAGGCAGGTCCTTACTGTAGCAGAGGTCCTGGCCWTGCTGCAGGACTCTGCAGGACTCAGGAAACTGTGGCAGATGCACAACATTTGTGTGTGAAAAGTGTGATGTGCCACTACATGTGGAGTGCTTCAAGAAGTACCACACTGAGTAGAACATGCACGAAAGATGGAATTTATGGGATGAAATATATACATATCTGTGTTATTAGACGTTCTAAGAAAAAAAGTTTTGAGTATAAAAAATTGAGAATAAAAAAAACAGTTCAAATTGTTTGTTTGGAATTTTATATAGGAGGAACCTGAGGCTCCACCTTTTTATTATTTATTCTGACCACATTATTATTTTTGTTATTACCATTAGTTCTCTATTATAAACAGGTGACATTGGACCAAGTGACAAGCTGTGTGCCTGCTGGCAACAATTGTTGCCGGTCATAAAAATACTTTTTTTTTTTTTCAAAACAAAGTACAAAATGGTGAAAATAATTTCATAACATGATTCAGAGGGACTCAACTGATAAAATGATATGCCTTACAACTCTGAAAATAAATTGGGCACAAATGGGTTAACACTTTTTAAATTACCAACATAGACACCGTAGTTGACTGTTGACTAATACATTTATTTTTATAAACCAGTTCTGCTAAGTTTATTTCATAATTTACTTTTATTTTACTTCGTTACTACTTTTTAACCAAGTTTCCTGGTCAACCAATAAAACGTGTTCTAGCTGCACCAGGCCTGCTGACATAAAAATATTTGTCTGATTTGTGCCATTTTTATGTTTTAGATCAAGTAGTACTGACACCATATACTGCTTAATGTGTCTTAGTCTATATTAATCACATTCAATTACTTTTCTCATWAAACAAAAACTAAAATGTTAACAGGTGTACAACTCTTCATTCAAAAGATCTTCCTCTTTTAAATGATTAAAAATTCAGTTTTCATGCTTTGCTGCAGTGATGTAAACAAATTAGATTTTACTGCAACTTGGTCTGGTGAAACATTTGCATGAAATTCACTTTTAATTATGTCAATGTAAACAATAAACAAAAATCATTGATTTTTAAAAATGCATTCAGCTTTTATTCTGAATTGTTGCTTCAGAATGACAACTCTTACACAAATGTACACGAAAACTCTGTTTCTGAGACATTTGTTATGAAATTAATGATCAGCTGTTCACATGTGCAAACAAGTCCAGGCAGGAGGTCTTGGTATTTTTAGAATCGTCTCCACGTAAGATTAYAAATAATTATTTACCATTTTTTTAAATGTGAGCAATGCCACACCAGACACAATCAGTCCATTTCAAATGTAACAGGGAGCCCAACTTCAATATCCCGTGACTCTGAGTTTTGTAGCTCTCTGCGGATCTCTGCTGAAATCTGAGGGTGTGTTTTTATCTTCAGCAGCTCCAGCAGAGCTGCCTTCTGTTCGGAGGCCAGGTCGGCTTTGTAGCGCTGGGCCATGGTGAGCAGACTCTGATGCCACAGCACGGGAAGATCTCGTTTTTCACTGCGGAAAGACAGGAAGTGGGCCACCAAGGCATCCAGAACACGGAAAGGCAGGGCGTACTTCTTGTCGAGCAGGAGCCGCAGGAAAATGCTGTTGGCACCGTTATACTCCATCTCCGCCAACTTAAGCATCGCCGCGCTGAAGGACAAAAACGACCGCACCAGTTATGTAACAGCAAACATGCTTTAGCGTGCACACAGATCTGACTGGAAATATCGAACTGGGACACGCTGCCCTCTGAGTACAGGTGTGTTGGTGTGAGGAGGCCTTACCTGGAATGCAGCACTGGAATGGAGCATTTAGTGAGTATGCTCCCGATGATGATGGCTTCTCTCAGAGTACATGTTCCWGACTCACATAAAGGAATCAGGATTCCTGTGATACAATACAGGAATATTAGATTACTTCAGTTATTGCCAAGTATAAAAATTACTTAACAGAAGTCATTTTACCACAGCAGTTCAAAGGACTGTTAAAGTTATACCAGAAAAGAAGCCACAAAAAACAAAAAAAAAAAACATGTTTTTTGTTAATGTTTGCGCTGTCATCTGATCATCTGTCATTTCCGCCGTCATTTATATGTGCCAAAGTTTGCCGACAATAACAACAGAAGGCTCTGTAATCTGAGCTGCATGTTTGTTGTGTGGAGGGCGTAATGACGACATCAGAGTTGAAAAGATGTGGGMTTTTTTTTAGAACATGAGCTTAAATATAAAGCTGAAAGCCTCAAAACAGATTTTATTCCACAGAGGTTTAGAGAAAAACATCACGCTAAACAAAAGAGATGGGTAAACAACTTGGAACAATAACTGAAKGGAGTGGCATAAAGTCAAACTTCTTCATATTTAAGTAGATGACTGCGTTAGGCGTTTAATTTAAATTTACATCAAATGTTCTGTTTAGTTACGCTAAACATTTTGAGTCCAGGTGAATGTTGATAATTAGTGGAAAATTACTGAATAAAAATGTTCTCAAGGTCTACAGAAACATTTCAGTTCATCAACCATTCTGTTTCAGGCACTGTTACTTTTATTTAAGAGCAACAGCGCACCCTAGTGTTTCATGATTAAAACGTCTTTCTACAGTAGGTCATGTCTTGTTTGGGGATCAAAGTCTCTTCAAACTGGTTTGTAAACCAATGAACCAACTTGATTAAAGGAGAATGAGATATCTTTCTGACCTCGTTTATTCTGACTATGCTGCAGTCAGAACTAATGGTGTCATTCACCTAAAAGACGGGCAGTTAATCCTCCGTCAGAATCCTCCAAATAACATTTAGAATAAATCTGTTACACAAATCAGAACTGTGTCAGGTCCCGCAGAGCCTGATATTTATGCTTCGCAACACGAGCTGCCAAATTCTCTCATTCATTCATTAATTCGCCCGCCTTTTTCCCCTTCCAAAGGTCACATGAAACTGGATCTTAGGCCGGCATTTAGCAGAACTTTAATGAAACTGTTTGTAAGACCAAACACGATGGAAGCTGTTTACAGGCCTGGCAGCTGGATGGAAATGTTAGAGCAAGTCAATAAGGCAGTGATGGGCGGTTAAACACGAAACATTTCAGAAATATTAGCTGAATTCAAGGAGGCATTTTAAATTCATGTTAAAAAACACATTTCTTTAATGATACTCTCCTTACTGACAACTTGACATTTGCATTCAGGGTGTAATGTTTGATGAAATCTCTTCTGCTGATTATRCTCAACAATTAACCTCTTGAGCCCCATAACAGTTTATTTTCTGTTTTCTATTTCTTTTCATTTGTTTAACTTCAGATCTGTCAGTTGAACCTGGACATGTTTGATATCAAAGGAAACCTAAGAATCCTGGTTAAAAGCTCATGGAAACCATTTTTACATTCCCCAAACACAGTTCAAATAGAAAAAAAACTTGAAATTTTTTTAAAGCAAGTCAAAGCAGATACCTAAATATGTTGTAAAATATCTTGAAAGTTTTTTTCTACTTGATTTTAAGTGAATATGATCCAACTGAAAAACATAATTTCTCTTTTTTTTTCAAAAGAACAAACATTCAACTCTTTTCAGACAGGTAAGAAAAAATAAATAATTTTTGGATGTAAAAACTTAACATTTATTAATGGTATCATCTCTGTCCTGTGCAGAATGACAAAACGCAAAATTATTTCTTTACTAAAGTCTCTATAATTTGCTCCAGTTCATTTTAGCAGCATGAATCTTTGCATAGGGAATGTCCACACGTGGATTTATGGTTTCCAAGAGTTTTTTGCCTACTTCATTAATGTTTTAAATGGGTTATATACTGTCAAATGGAAAAATTATTCAGGTGAGAGTGAAAAAATAAAAATAAAAGTTCCATCCTCAATATCTCTAAAACCACAGCAGCTGTTTTAATACTTGCACTTCTGGTGAAATCTCCCAAGTGTTAACTTTATTTTGATACCAAGATTATTTAAGCAGAGTTTGTAAATGCTGAGATACACTTAGTTACATTTCAGCATGGTATTTTGAGCAAAAACTTTGAGAAAACCCCTTGGGGTTTAAGACCGATTGCAAACTGTTCTTTACAATACATGACAGTGAAAACCACTCACGCTAAAGTACTTAAATATTGTATATCTTAAAGGATCTCCTTTCTTATTTTGACAACAGTATGGTAGAGGGTAAATTTCTACCGTAGGCCAACTTCATACCGTTTCTACCGTCCACCGCATATACCGCGCAGCCCTAGTTCAATTAAAATATTTCTTCTCAATTCTAAAAACAAACATATAAAAAATATATATTTGATCTGTGTCCCACCTTTAAACCAGGCTCCTGGTTTGAACAAAGCCTTTTTCAGGGCACTGTAGAGATGAAAGTTTAGTCGTTTGTACTCTGTGATATCATCCCGCACTCGGGGCAGCAGCACTAAGTTGTAAAACCTCTGAGCCATTCGCTCTTTCAGATTGGAGGAGAAGATTCTACAACAGAGAAATCATTTTTACTGTCGTGTCACAGATCAGACAAACTTTTACATTCCATTCTAAATCAAAATGTCATTTTACTGACGTTTTAGTACATTGAACGAATACTTGAAAATATTTTAAGACTCTGGAGTAATTGGGACAACTCGGTAACAACAACAGAGGACTCACCTTGTTGCTTGGTACATAGCAGCTGCAGACCAGGTTTCAGGCTCAGTCAAATACAGAACCTGCTCCCAGTTTGAAAGTGCTGGGATTATTTTAAAGGCCTTTGGCAGTTTACCGCTGCGATACTTTGACAAAACCTAAAAGAAAAATGATAAATATGGTTTACGTAGTTTCCTCGTTTACGTCGCTTGTATAAAAAAATACAGGCGATACAGCCAATTACAACAAAGGGAAAAAAAGACATAGATTATTCATTCTCTAAAGTATAACATTTCTCCTTGGTGCCTTTTATCTGTTGTCACACTTTTTAAATCTGTTTTATAGTTTAGTTTTTTTTAGTTATAAATCAGTTGTAAATGTTTGTAGGACCTTTTCTGACATAACTCACCTTACCAACACCCCTGTACACCTCAGTTACTCTTGGATCCAGCTGGGGCATCGGGCACCCAGACACCTCAGACATTACAGTTCCTACTTCAGTCTGCTTCTCTGTGATCTTCTCCATGATGATGTCAGCCAAGGTCCGCCTGTTACGATCGCAAAGAAGAAACGATTAGCATCAAACAGATGAAACTGACCGCACAATCCCCACCAGTCAAGCTGAACCTTGCCTCATTGGAGGGTTTTTATTCATGAACATCTCAATGGCCTTCTCATCGTCAGGATCCACGACAACTTCTGCATCCCTGTCACTTGCACCTGCTTCTCCCAGAGCTGGCCACTCTTCATCTGAGTCAACATCCTGAGAGTCAGGACCTAAAACGTGATTGTAAAATAAAGGCAGTCATTAATAACACTTGGAAATATACACAACAAACTTCATTTTCCAAGTCAAGAATTAATGACCAACATTGAACACGTAAGTTGTTTTTCTAGTTTAAACTATCTTTCACTGGTTTTTAGGGAAGCAACCAGCCATACCAGATTCCATTCAAAAAATTGTCAATTTAAGGTATGAAACCCCTCCACCTTTACCGAGAACAGTGACTGGTGCCTTCTTCTTCTCATGTCCCAGACCATACTCTGTTTGCAGTTCCTCTTGTTGAATTCTGGCCTGCTGTAAGATTTTCCTTGACAGACGTTCGTCCACATAATTGTCCTCGCTTTCCACCCGGCTGTCTCGAGCCTTCACACGGTCTCGGGCTCGGATCGTATCCGCCTGGAGGATCTGGTCGGCCAGCGACACCGCTGCTCCTCGGCCGCCGCTCTTTTCTCCTCCTTTAGATTTTTTCACTTTCGGCATCACTGCAGCGTAACTCAAGCTGTGTATTAACAATAATATCGGTGTTTTACAGCAGCATTAGTAGGCTAAAGGTTAAACTGACTTTTTAGACTGTAAACAGCCTATTYCCCTACACGTGCGGTAGTCCCTACGAGAGGAAGTGACGAAAATTAAGCAACTTCCTGTTTTAATAATGACCCATAAAAATTCAAAATAAACGGAGTAACATTTTAATGTATATTATATGCTGATATGTTACACTTTGATATAATGTTTTGTTTTTTGTTTTTTTTATTTCCACAGGTTGACCGGAAGTT